AGGTGGAACTAGTCAACATATAGGCTTCACAACCACCCCATGTTAGCATAGTGTCTTCTGTGAAACTAGATCCCCAAATCCACCTGACAGAAACAAGATTGTGCAAAGCAGGACTAGCCAATACCCCAACATGTCAGAGGTTCCTAGTAGAAACTAAAACTCTCATAAATAAGATAAAACAAGGTTTTGCAAGAAGAAGTGAATAATGTCATGCTTCTTATCTCTCCTGATGTCAGTAGGGAATAGTAGAAAGATGAACGTCCACCCCAGTCATCTGAAATGAGGCAGTGTGAGTTAGTACCCACTTTTTCTGGGGTGGGTATGTTGATAGGGCATAGCAAGAAACTGAACATACCCACTCAGCTGGTTCTTGAGCTACACCAAAATGGCCTGGTTAAAAACAATTAAGATCAAATTTTATAATATGTATCCAGGATACAAATGAAAATTATTTGTATGAATGATAATTATCATACTACCAACCTAGAAAATAGTATGAATGACAAAAAAAATCAACATATGCCAGCATCAAGATGAATCAGATGTTGTAATTATCTGAGAAAGGTTTTTAGCAGCCATCAAAAATCTTTCAATATGCAATTATGAACCTTCTTGCAGAAAATAAAATGTGAAAGATCAGCAAAGAAACAGAAGTTATAAAAAAAAAACTGATATCATAGAATTGAAAAATACAAGAAACAAAATAAAAATGAATAGGCTCAGTAGTAGAGTAGAGACTATGGATAAAATACAGAAACTTAAGAGCTCAATAGAATTTACCTAATCTAGACAACAGAGAGCAGAGAGACTGGGGAGAAAAACAATAAGCAGTGTTGGGGACCTTTGAGACAGTTATAAAAGATCTAACATTCATATAAATTGGACTCCCAGAAAGAAGGGGAAAATATAGTGGAGCTGAAAAACTCACAAGAAATGAGAAATAAATGTTTGAAAACTTCCCAATTTTTTGGGAAATTTTAAAAATCTTATCAGTTGCTCATTATAAATTGTATCATATTTGAAACATTATCTTTTCTAACTTCATTTCTAAAAGATTATTGTTTAACATATACTGCCCAAAGCTTTTAATCTGTAAATGAATAGTAATCCTATATAAAGATAAATTATTAATTTATTAAATTAGTAATCCCATATAAGGGTAAATTATTATTATTTTATATATCTTTAATTGTATTGTTTTTAAGACAGTGACATTGCTTTCAAACAATGCACATGATTTAGGGGGTATAGGTTCACATCTCTTTGGTTGAATATTTATATACTATGCCTACCACCAAAGTAACCATATTGCACCATATTTCATTGGCAGTTGCTCCCCAGCCCCACCCATCTTTCTCATACCTCAATTATACAGTCATATTTCAAGGGGTTTTTTGGGTTTTGCTTTTTTAGGTTTTCATTTTTTATAATAAAAACATTTATTTGTTAATGGTTTTTTTTTTCTACTGAGATAAAGTTGATTTACATCATTGTATTTGTTTTAGGGGTTATTGATTTTAACCTCTACAATGTACGCTTTCACCAATGAAGTATGGTGGAGGATTATTGGGGTTCTGTTGGTAGGCATGATATAAAAAGTTACTAAATTTGATACATCAATGTACATATGCAAAATGCTGGACAAACACCAAACAAGATAAATCCAGATATATCTGTGCCAAGGAAGATCATAACTGAGCTTTTGAAAACTGAAGAAAAAAAACACTAGAAAGCATCCAGAGACAGAGAATGTATTATAAATGAACATGCCTTTGAATGATAGGTTTCTCATCTGAAACCATGGGGGGGAGGGGGCAAAGGGAAGTGGTACAACATTTTTCAAGTACTGAAAGAAAAGTGCCCAACAATGGAAAATGGATAAAAAATATGATATAAATATACAATGGGATATTATTAAGTCGGAAAAGAAGAGTTTACAATTTATAACAACATGGATGAACATTAAAGTCATTATATAGAATTAAATATGAAACATAGAAAGATAAATACCGTATGATCTCATTTATATGTAGAATCTAAAACAAAAATCTGAGCTTACAGATATAAAGAACACATTTGTGATTGCCCAAGAGAGTAGGTGGGTAAAATGGGTGAATTTGATCAAAAGGTACAAAACTCTTCTAAACTATGTGTGGTAATACATGTTAATGAGAATTACTGTAGTCATTTCATAATATATACAAATATTGAACCATTATGTTATAAACCTGAACTAATTTCATATATATAAGTATTTAAATATAGTGGTTTAGTAAGAATGAAAATGATCTAAGAATATGCTGTCCATACAATAAACTCACTTCACATACAAAGACATAAGTAGGTTTAAAGTAAAAGGATGGAAATAGATATACCATGCAAACATTATTTTTAAAAAAGAAAGCAGGAATGCTTACATTAATATGAGATAAAACGGAATTTGGAGCAAAGAAAATTACTGGAGACAAAAAAATTACATAATGATAAAAGGGTCAATCCACCAGGAATACATATTAATAGTGTGTGTGTGCACACCAAATCAGAACCTCAAAAGAGAGCGCGAAAATGAATAGTATTGGAAGGAGAGATACAGTTGGGGATCTTAATTTACTCCACTCTCAAGATTTGATAGAATTACTAGGCTGTAAAGAAACATAGAACTCAACAACACATCAACCAACAATATCTAGTTGACAAATATAGAACTTTCCAATCAATAAGAAAAGAATGTACATTTCCCCAGAATCTATATAGCATTCCAGTGACAGACCATATTCTACACCATAGAACAAATCTTAAGAATTGATAACATGTAGTGTGCTTCAGGACCACAATGGAATCAGCTGAAATCAGTAACCTGAAGACAAGAAAATCTCCAAACATTTCTAAGTAATTCATGGTTCAAAAACTCAAAGGCAATTTTAAAAACTACAAATAACTCTATGAAAATGAAAACATATCAAAATTTGTAAGATCCGTTTAAAGCAGTACTGAGAGAAAAATTAATAACACTAAATGCATATCTTAGAAAAAAGATATCAAATCAATATTCTACAAGTAAATTTCTTACCAAATTCTGCATAGTGTCATCCCATTTTAATGAAACTTTTTATTTTAAAATAGTTGTAGATTTTATTATAGTTGTAACAAAAAATACAAAATCAATAATCTAGGAAAAAGAGCAAAATAAGCTCAAAAAAAGCAAAGGAAAAAAATACCACTGAAAAGCTGATGATAAACTGCCAAAATTCAATTAAAATAGAAAACCAAACTAGCCCTATAATTATTAAATAAATCTAATCTGTAATATAAAATCATATAATAATCTCCAGACCCAAGAACTTCCACTAGGAATTCTACCAAACATTTAAAGAATTAACATAAATGTTATACAATATGTTCCAAAAACTAGAAGAGGGACTAACTTCTCAGTTCATTTTAGTAAGTTAGTATTATTCCAACACCAAAACCAGACAAACAATACAAATGAAAAGTTAAACTAAAATGAAAACCATATTTAAATATAAAATGCAGAACTGTAAGATTTTTACAAAAAGAATTAAAAGAAAATAATTAAGAGCTGGAGTTAAGCAAAGAGAGGTGACACCTAAAGTACCCCATCTGTAAGGGAAAAACTGATAAGGTAGACTCTGAAAAAGGGTGAAAAGACAATAAAAAAATAGAAAAAAGCAATTGCAGACTGTATATCTGACAAAGGACTAATATCAAGAATATATAAAAATACCAGTACATCACAAAATTACAGAATGATAAAATGAAAAGATAATTAACATAAAAATCTGGTAATGGTGTGAAAACATAGGATCATTCATACACTGTTGATTGGAATGTGAAATGTTACAACCATTCTAGAAAACAGTTTCACCTCTACTTATAAAACTGAACATTCAAATGCCATTCTATCTCTCAATTGTACTGCTGGGCATTTATAACAGGGAAATGAAAATTTACATTCATAGAGAAGCATCTACACACATTTTCATAGTTGCTTTAATCATAATAGCCCAGTCCAGAGGTCTTAATAAGTGAATGATTAAAAGAAAAAACTGTAGTGCTTCCATACAATGGAATATTACTCAACAACTTATAAAATTGAACAGGTGATTACATGTAACAACTTGGATGAACCTTCAGAGTATTGTGCTGAAAGTGAAAAAGTGAACCCCAAAAGGTTACCTATTATATGATCCATTTACATTACATTCTTAAAGTAGTAAAATTTTGAAAATGAAGAATGAAGAATTCTTCATGGAAATGAAGGATAAATGAGTGATCGTGGGGAGCGGGTGTGGGAGAACGAGATGAACAGGTGTTGTCATAAAAGGACAATACAAGAAATCCTTGTAATCTGCACCTTAAGTGTATCAGTGTCAATATCCTGGTTGTGATATGACACTATCATTTTGCAAGACGTTATTATTAGGGGAAATTGGGTGCAGAGTCCCTGGGATTTCTCTGTATAATTTCTTACAACTACAATTAAAACCTACAACTATCTCAAAATAAAAAGTTTAATAAATGAGATAACCCTCATACATAATTTGGGAGGAATTTACAACACTACAAGCATCTATTGGAAAAGAAAATCTCAAATGGATGACCTCATTTTCCATCCTAAGAAACTAGAAAAAGATTAAATACCATAGGTAAGCAAAATAAATTTTAAAATATCAAAGCAGAAATAATTAAACAGATTATTGCAAAACAATACAGAAAAGCAATGAAACCCAAAGTTGGTTCTTATGAAAGTCAACACAATTTATAATTTAGCTAGCTTGATCAGGGGGGAAAAGGCACAATTTACAGTATTAGGAATTAAAACAGGTACATCAATAAATTTGACACTGAAATTCACAATTGTCACTCTTTCGAAAGAAGCATTAAACTTTATTTGGTTATAAAAATTTCACTTACCTTAATATTTAAAGAAATGCAATTGGTATTAATATTGCAAATAATGAAGCAAAAATCAAGGATACATTCGTATAGCACCTGTTCTCGTCCCAATAGCCAAGATTTTCTGAACTGGATCAAAGGCTAATGCTGTGGGTTGATAAGGAAAACCATGCCGAACTGTCTGAAAGAGAGCAAATAGCAAAAGGAGTCATCAGAAAACAAAAATTAAATATTACAAGATACTACTACCTAATCTCCAGAATGACTAACCTGTTTTACAAAAAACTACTTAATGTTGGTAGCAGTGTAAATGACACAATCACTGTGGGGAAAAAAACTTTGCAATTTCTTATAAAGCCAAACATACCTTTCCTATGGCCTAGAAATTCCTCTTCTGTGTATATGCCCATGAAAATGAAGAGCATATAGCCACACAATAATTTATGTAAGTATGCTCTAACAGCTTTCTACATAACACCTTAGAACCACCCAAGTGTCCAACAAGAGAATCAAGAAACAAAACTATGTTGTACTCATCTCACACAAGAGTATATTATGTAACAGTTAATAGATGCAAAAAAATAGTAGTTGCAACACATGGATGATTCTCAAAAACAGTATGTCAAGTCTTTCAAGCAATACAAAGAAGAGTGCTTATGATATGATCACATTTATATTAAATTCTGAACAAGCAAAACTATACCTTAGTCAAAACTCATTGAACAGCACAATAAAATGTGTGATTTATTTGTAACATACACCTCAAAAAGAAAAAAAATGTTATAAACAAATAGTAAACTCACATTAATCCTAGGAATACTATGTTTTTAATAGGTGAAATGTACTAATACTTGTAACTTATTTCAAAATGCATTCAAGAAAGTATGTATATATGACTGGACAAACATAAAATAAATATGACAAAACAAAAATTGTCAAGTATGAGTGGTAAGATGTATGTGTGAATAGATACATATACATGAATGTTCAGAGAATAATTATTTTACCTCTCTGTATACTTAAACATTTTCATAGTAACACAAGGAAAATGTGGAGACTGAACAGTGTACTACTGAATGACTACTTGGTTAATGAGGGAATAAAAAAAAATGTAAACATGCATGAAGATACATAAAAATGAAAACATGAGATATCAAACCCATGGCATGCAGCATAAGCAATACTAAGAGCCATACATCTTGCAACAAAAAGAGCCCAAATATGTACTCTGACAGTATACTTTAAGGAACTAAACCAAAAACCAGATGAACAAAGAAAAAAAAAATTAGTGAATAAATAAATGAAACAATTCACAAAGTAGTCCTAAAAATCAATGAAACTAAATCTGTTCCTTTGGGGAAAAAAAAAAAAAAAACCAACATATAAAAACCTCTATATAAACCTGTAAGCTCACGAAGAAAAAAAAAAAAGAGCACTGATAGAATAAAAAACAAAAGAGAAGTTACAACAAACATATCAGAAATTCAGAGGATCATGAGATTACTATGAACATTTGCATGCTACTTTATGGAATAATCTAGAACAGATGGACAGATTTGTAGATATGTATAACCATCTGAGACTGAATAAGGAAGAAACAGAAAACCTGAACACACCAATTATAAGCCAGGAAAATGAAACAGTAATCGAAATCCAAAAAGGAAAAAAGAAAGAAAAGAAAAAATACATATGTCCAGGAGCAGATTGTTTCACTAGCGAATTCTACCAAATCTTCAAAGATGAACTATTATCTATCCTTCTCAATCTATTTCAAAAAGCTGATTAAGAGAAAATATCTCCAACTACATTTTAAGAGTACAACTTTACCTGGATACTAAAGACACCACAAAGAGAGAAAACTATAAACCAATTTCCCTGATGAACATAGGAGCCAAAATCCTCAACATAATCTTAGCAAACTGAACTTAACAGTGCATTAAAAGGATCATACAACATGACCAGGTGGAATTTATTCCAGGGATACAAGAATGGCTCAACATACATAAATCAGTATGATTCACTACATCAACAAAAGGAAAGTTAAAGTGATGTGATCATATCAACAGATGAAGAGAAAGCATATAAGGTTCAACATTCATTTATGATAAAAAGGCAAAAGAAAACAAAAACAAAATTCTGGGATAAATCTAGCGAGAAATGTATCTCATAGTCAATTAGAAAATTACAAAACAGCAGCAGCCCTTCTGCCTGGCTGTGCCTATGCAGGAGCTCCTCTCCGACCTTCTCCATTTACAGGACAGCAGCTCTCCTCCCAAGGCTGCCTACCTATGACTATACCAGTGTCCTTTATTCTTCTCTCCCTTTTTTATAATAAACCTTTCCTTTTGGGTATTAAAAAAACACTCCAAAACATCCTTGATCAATGCAAATATATATATATATACACATACAAGAATAACTAGAGAAGTATACTATAAAAGCAGAAGATTCAATATTCAAGAGATGTGAAGTTTGCCCCAAATTAACATTAAAATGTAATATAGAATAAACAAAATCCTAAGTAGATATGTTATGAAAACTGAGAAAAAGACTAACGTATATCTGGAAATATAAACCTTGAAACAATGAAAAATTTTTGAAAAGGGAACTAGAAAAGGTGGGTGGACAATTAAGTATTTTTTAAAAGATTCATTTTTATTTATTTATGTATACAAAACCAGGGGCTGTAGGCCAGACATGCAGGAGCGAGAGGATTCACCAGAGACAGAGTGGGGAGTAGAGCAAGCTGACTGAAATACACTGCTGAGGGGAGCAGTGGCTGAAGCAGGAGAGGTCTGCTGTGCCAGGCAGGTTAGCTCCCTGGCTGGCAATTAGATTGATAGTGCTGAGACTTTAACCCCTGCACCACCAAAAAGGTCTGAGCTATTAAATATTAAAATGCTTTATAAATAAAAATTATAATTTTAATTGTGGTACTAATACCAGGAGACACTGACTAATGGAATGAAGTACAATGTTTAAAAGTAAACCAAGTAATTAAAATAATTAAATAATTAAAAACAACAATCAAATCAGTAAAAAAAAAGGGGGGGGATTATTACATAAATGGTATTGGCAAACTTGGCTGATCATACAACAAAATTAGATCCTTATCTAGTTCATATGACAATAAAATTCAAGATGGATTATGATATGCTAATACAAAAACCAAAACTATTATTACAAATGGGTTTGAGCACATATTCATATAAGCTTAAGGGAGCTTAAAAACCTTTGCCATAGTAGACAAGATGCTAGAGAGCTTTTTATACATAACATAGTAAAGCATTAATATCTTTAACTATACAAAATGTTCTTATAAACAACAAAAGTCAAATAACCCAAAATGAAAGTCAAAAGATAACATCTAATTCACTATAGAATAAATGCAAATGAGCAATAAATATTTTAAGTGCAAAATTACTAAACAATGAAATAAAAATGAAAACAACTTTGATTTAGCACCTCTTGTCAATTGTAATGGCAAAGATTTTTTAAGTTATGGCAATTTTGAAAGGTTAAAGTAAACAATTTCTTTTCTTTTCTTTTTTTTTTTTTTTTTTGGGACCCTTGCCAGTGGCCAGGGATCGAACTGGTGCTGCAGAGGCTGCAGGCAACCTCGCAACCCAGCGCTCAACCACTGGGCCACCAGGGGAGGCCCAAAAGTAAACAATTTCTAATCAGAGAACTACAGTATTTCCCTCTCCGTGCCTTAACACCACATATATAGGGCTCCTTTATTGTAGCTAGGGAAAAGAACTTGATTCAAGCAGGATTTTCTAGAAAAACCCAAAGAAAATGGAAGAGACAAAAATAACACCAGAGGAAATTTTAGCATCTAACACCTACAGCTACAACAAAGAAAAAACACAGCCTAATTCTTAACCAAATAAACATAAAATCTGACACTTAAAGGCTATTTACTTCAGTTACTTCTACCATGCACATTATGTCTGACTCTCAGCAAAAACTGCAAGACATACTTAAAGACAAAACTCAGTCAGGAGACAATCAGCCCAAGAATTTAAAACAACTATGATTCATATAACAAGGACTGTAATGGAAAAAGTGGGCGATATGCAAGAACAGGTGAATAATGTAAGACAAAAGATTGAAGCTCTAAGAATCAAAAATAACAGAAATCAAAAAAGACTAACCAACTAAAGCCTTTCCTATAATGCTTACCCTACTGTTCTTCTTATCTCTACCAAATCAAAGTGATGGTGGTCAACTCCTTTGCTATTGTAAGCTCTACATAAGTAAACTCTGTTTTCATTTGGGTGATCATTTATTTCCACAGAACAAAAAACTAAACATGAAAAATACTAAAATGAAATGCATCTCCCCTGCCCCAATCACTAACCATTAACTGCATCTGAGTATACAAAGTATGAATAATTTGGGAATGTTTTTCTCTCTACCCTGCTGTATTTAATGTGATGAACAAGTCTACATTTATAATGGAGATGTAATTTTTCAATAGAAGTATTTGAAGGACAAGTAGTCAGCAATAAAAGGGATAATACATTCATGGAGAGCTGTGGGGAGATTTCTGGACCTACTAAACATAGAGCTTCCATATGATCCAGCAATTCCACTCCTAGGTATTTACCCAAAGGACAAACAAACATCAATTCCAAAGAGCACCTGCACCCCTATGTTTATAGCAGCACTATTTACAATAGCTAAGCTTTGGAAACAACCCAAATGCCCAAAAATAGATGACTGGATGAAGAAGATGTGGTACATATATACCATGGACTATTACTCAGCATTCAAAAAAGATAAACACATGCAATTTGCAGCAACATGGATGGCTCTGGAAGGGATCATGCTCAGCGAAATAAGCCAGAAAGAAAAAGAAAAATACCGGATGGTCTCACTCATAGCGGGAATCTAGAAAACTTAAATAAGGGACCAGGAAAATCAATAACTATAAGAAAGTGAAAATCAAAATCAACAAAAAACTATGAACCAGAGACACTCTATGGGGGGTAGAGGGTGGGAGGGGAGGGATTGGGGTCAAAATAAGGGGGTTGCAATTGTATGGGAAATATAAAAATAAAATTTATTATTTAAAATAAAAGGATAATACATTCAAAGTTCACAAATCTCAAAAATCATGTTGCATGAAAGAAGATATACACGATATGTATTTTATAATTTTACTTATATTAAGTG